TCTGTTAGCAGATAACTGACTAGTCTAAAGGTTGCGCGCACAATGCAAGATTTCTAAGAACAATGTTAATTCGGTTCCTTGCGACGGTGTGTTTGTCGCTATTATCTTCAAAACAACGTATAATAAAACAATTATTAGATTCAGTTTTTGTAATATCCTAAATAATCGCGGTCACGGTAAGTAATATCAGCCTCGGCCTTCGGCTCGGCTGATAACACTTAACGCGACCTTGATGATTCCGGATATCACTAAAAACCATCATCCAATAACTGTTTGATTGTAAGGTTGGGAAGAAAAAGCGCATGCATGAACTGTACTAGAGGATAGACAACATACTAAAAAAAACGAGAGAACTTTTTGGGTCTCTCTCACATTTGTGTGTAGAAAGTGTTTTCGAGGTTCAACGCGAAAGAAACTGTTTCGGAATGTTAAGTGTTGTTCTTCTAAACTGCCAGTAGAGAATACCGTACTTACTCGCACGAAAGGTCTTGACTAGTTACTAAATATGTATTCACCAGATCATTTAATCATTATGATTATAATCATCGTCGTCATCAAAGTCATCATCATCATCATCATTATTAATTCTCTATTATTTAGGCCTCTTGAATGAAGTCTTAATTAAAACTACCTTGAAATGAAACTGAAAAGAAATATAACAAGCCAGTAATTGGCTCCTAAACAATCTTAAAATACTTAGAATTAATAACTTAATTAACTGAGCGAGACTTTTATCACTCGTGTTTTTTTCTCACTCACCCTGCTCGCTGGAAACCACGCGTTGATGAAGCGACAACGTAGCCTTTTCATTGCATTTCTTACCCTTGTATCTAATCAGAGCAGAGAGGAAGACGCAAGAGGAAATTTTTTTTCTTTTAATGACGATGCTGGCTATGTTTCCGCATTCAGAGCAAGTTAACCAATACCCAATTTACGTTACTTTCCGAAAACTTCTGCAATTTGATTGGCTGAAAGTAGCTGTGCATCAGCTTAATCAAAAATAGCAATCGAACAACACCAGAATATATCATACCTAGTAAAAATGTGGCTCACCAGCGAGAAATCGAATCCAAATCACTGTTTGCATGTGAGAGCACTACACTACTAGTGATCGCGGGAGTTGAAAGTGTGCGAAAAAGATTAGACAGTAGGGAGATCAAGTAAAGACGTTTTTGAGCGACGCACGTCGACCGGAAGTAGACTTTTTGCATTCTGGGCCAGTGATTTTGCCCAAATTTTCGGGCAGATCGTCTATACAATAGTAAAGTCACTTAGCAATAAACATTTTTTACTGTCAAGGCCTTTAAAAAAGGAAAGGGCCTCAATACGGTCTACGTGCGTCGCTCAAAAAACGCCTTTGCTTAAGCCTACTCCATTTCTAATCACATCATCGGAGACCCGATAGGAGTATTTATTTATTTATTTATTTATTTATTATTTTCCCACAATAAAGATTACACAAGCATTACATTATACAAAGATGTGGCGAGGGGACCTCAGAAAACCACAAGGCTTGTACGAGGAGGCCCCCTCGTTACAATAATATTAAGCAATAGAACTATAACAACACACAACAACGGACAGTACAAGACGCATTATCGATATAGTAGAAAATCAAAAACTTTCGTTTTAAACGATTGCAATGTAAAAATCGAAGTGACTGAGTTTGGTAAAGAATTCCAAATTTTAGGGCCTTGGAACAAAATAGAAAATTGTTTGGTGTTAGTTCGGCAGGCATGAGAACGGAAATGCGAGGAACTTCTAGTATGACGTCACTTAGGATCGAAAGCGCGGTCTGTGTATTGAAATGAGCAAATAAAGCAAGAATTAACACGGCCGTTTTCATACTGAGTAAACCAGCCCTGAGTTATATGTCTCGGGGTTTGATTTCTCGCTGGTGAACCGTATTTTCACATGGTAGCTTATATTCCTACATGGGATTAGTTTCCTTTTTAGCAATTTTCATACATTTCCTCTTCCGCGGTCGTTGCAAAAAGCAAAAAGAGCTTGATCTCAGGTTAGCTTAGTAAGTGGGTCTATTTTTAACTGACTATACTACTTACACTATTGAAAGATTTATCTAACACGCCTGAAAAGACCGACATTGGCTTGACAATCTTGACAGTACGGAAAATTCCAAAAACTTCCTAAGTCCGTCTTAAGAGGGGTTTAACAGCTGGGCATAAATGCGACTCCAAGAAAAGGTCATAAACGAAGAATTCATTTGAAGTTATGGTGGATGCTGACATAAAAGATAAAAATAAAAAGTAATGTCCATTCCTCTTCTCGCGTCGGGCGCTAGTAACTAATATTTCACACATTTCTTTTATGGTTGTCTTGTACAACTACTTTAGTTCTTCGCTGTGTACATCCAGTATTTAATAGCCTAGGAAACATAAGCTCATATGACGTGCAAGAGATTTTTTTGAAAGCCTCAGTGTGTAATTGTAACAGCAATCTAGCCTTTTTACCTTAATTTTTCACTGCTATATTGCTTGAAATTGTCCAGGAATTGGTTATCGCTGTACCTGAAAATGATTAAATCAACTAAATGGCGGCTGGTGGTGCGAAAGTTGCCCAAGACTGAGTCTATCCTTATCGCTATAGATTGAGTTTTCTTTTCTAGGCATGAAACGCGGACTACGGACCACATTTTTTTTAAAAAAGGGCAAGGAGACGCAAAAACAAGATAAAATAACTGCGGGCTAGTATAAAACCGCACGTCTTGATAAGGTTAAGGAAAACTAGGATGGCCTACCCGTAGCAATGAAACTTTTAGATGCAAAATATCATTGGTTTCTTGGCATCAATCTTATTGGCCCATCACCGTGCAACACACAGACAAACATACATAAATACAAAGACACAAAGATAACGCGCTATCAGACCACTTACATATGAACTATTCTTTGAAAACAGCTCAACAAGTTCAAATTTGCAGTACAAAGTTTCTACAGGCAAAACTTATCCTCTCTGGTGGCCACTTCGCTACATAGAAACGCCTCAGAGGCTAACTCGCTATGTTCATTAAGGAAAGGCTTAATTTTGGTAGAGGACTTCTACAGTTTCTGAAAAACTAAAATTAGAAGGAACGTGAAGAGGATAAAGCCCGAAAACGAGGACGAAGGTACTAAGGCTGAAAGCAGAAGCTTATAATCAAAGGTAACAAGTAAAAATGTCAAATGCAGCAGATTAGCCGAGAAGACAAAACAAAGACCGAAAAAATCCAAAATAAAACAC